ACTAGGTGCGTTCTACATGGTCTCCCTGAAAACAAGACCAAGTTGCGACAACGAGGTCAACCTACTTCTACCATTGCTTTCCATACCCATGTTACAAGTGCTTTGGAAGGCGTCTTAACCTTCCATATTGAGGTTGTGCATTGGGATACACTATCCAGGAGAGGCAAATGACACGAAAAAATAATAATATCATGAAAGAATGTTAGTAATTATAGACCTAAGATTGATTTGGTATGTTATTTTGAAAGCAAGTGGTCATAGCAGAGCTAGTTTTGTAAAACTATAACAAGGATATGAATAATTATCAAGCCAATCAATTTTATTTTTTTATTTTTATGCAGTTGCTTAAGCTTTGTAGGAGATTTTTTCTACTTATAGACTGTGAAATGTGCGGTTTAGGTAAGGATAGGTACGTGAAAAAGAGGTACCTTGATGTAGTTTACCTTTAAATCATAAACAAGTGACATTATTTTAGAAGGTCATGAAATTTTTATAGGGATACAAGTTATAGAATTGTTAAAAAATATGTGCATAATAAGCATGTAGTTGAGGAAATAAATTTCCATTATAGCGTATCTCTATCCCAAGGTGATAATTAATTGGACAAAACTCAATGGCGATAAAAATAATAGAAATAGAAAAGCACCGAGAAAAGGAGATTAAAATATGGGGAATAAAGATAAGCACGTGATTTGAGAGAGCAAAATGACTGACATTTATTTACATATAAGATGGTTAGTCTAGGAAAATAACAATTTGAAGACTTACTGAATACTAGCAAATAAAATTTAAATTTAAATTCAATATCCACATCTTTTAATAAAGCGGAAGAAAATTTAAAAAATGGATTACATCGTTGCCTATTTATGGTTTTATCGATGCGCAAGATTACTAAGGCCCTGTAATAAATCAAAAAACTATTCAACAAATTTTCGTCAGATCAAGGTTTTATAAATGCATTAAAATAAGATCTAATTCTTCATATTAATCAAAATGTATCAACTAATTCATCATAAGAGACCTTATGAAAAGTAACGACAATCATTAAAT